ATCGTAGAGAAAGAGTAAGAGGACTTGTGTCCGTATTCATATTCTTCAAAATCTTTTCTTAAACGGCTCCTTCCACCATAAGTGGATTTACCTACTTGTCGCCCATGGGCCGCTTGTATTTTGCCGCCCCCTTCTCATTCGTTTTGAAACATCAATAAAAACCATAAAGTAAACGTGCCGGAGGGAGAGGTGTGCGTAAGACGCGTTTACTCGTGTTGGACACATTTTTTGCGAAAGTCCTATCAACACCACCAGTAAAAATTCACGGCACTTGCCGAGAAAGTTAAGTTCCGTAAACCTGTCTCTGTGTGGACAAGGCCCTCTATTTGTAAGAAATGAACGAAAAAATTATGAAAGAACAAACATAAATGTGGTTTAATAATTTTAACTTCCACCGCCGCGCCGCGCTGATCGCACTAGGTATGTTTGACGCAATGCTTGAAGTATTCCTTCAGTCTTGTAGGCGCTATGCGTTACTCATGTCGACCGCTGCTGACCGCACTTTGTTTGACGCTATGCATGTAGTATTCATGCAGTCTTGTAGGCGCTGATATGTGTTACATGCCGACCGCCCCGCCGCGGGCTTCTCCTTTTCATCTCAAATCTTCGTCTTCTTTGCTCTCTCCAGGCAAAATTGCGTGTTTGGTCTCTCTCATAACTCGACTAATTGAAGGTTCCGTCTCTTGTATCACTGCAAAACGTCAAAATTAGAAATTACTATACTCTCAGGAAATGACAGCTTTTGTCGCCTTTTTTCTTTTGTAATTTTTTTTTATACTTCATTTAAAAAAATTGCAAAATTTGCCACTCCCTCAATTTGCCACCATGAGCCGCGGCCCATGTGGCCATCCCCTTAATCCGGCCCTGGACCTCTTACGGAAAATAGCTGATCAAAAATGATTACGAATATATTTCCTCTGTTGCGATTTGGCAAAAAGCAATAGTGGCCTGTCACCGATCATTCATCCCACGATCATGGCAAGAGCACCGCGGCCCGGCGGAGTCTGTGCGTGGACGCCGACCCCCCCCCCCCCNCCCCTCGGCCTCCCGCCCCCCACCTGATACTGCTCTTTCTCTCATCGCTCGGACACGGTTCTGTTGAAATTCAAATTCGGAGACACCGTCCATGTTCGTTATGTCACGTAGACCGAAGACTCATTGCGACGAGTCGCGGCTGGATTCCCTTTATAGCCGCACCGAAAAAAATAACATTCTGAAATGTAAGTTTGGATGCCAAAGTTGAGACTGGCGAGGCCTAAATGCTGATTTAGCCACTAAATAGTCATTTTTACATACTGGGAATGCAGAATCAATCATGAAGGTTCCTGAATCAACTTTTAGACCTCCGATACGCGACACAATTTTGACCATCGAAATGCTTTATCAGCACTAATTTTGAAAATGTCCTTTCGAATGAGAGGCTTGACGGACACGGCGTATACACTTTTTGAAAAAATTAAGGTATTAATGACTTCAAGTAAAACTAGTCTGAATGCATATTCTGTGCAAAATTCGCTTCCAAATTCCAGTTTTTAAGCATCAAGAAGTCAGTTTGAACTTTCTTTCCGTCGTAAGGATTCATTTAGTTTCGAAACTCTGAACACGTTTTCTCGAAATCTAAAGACTGCACGTCTGCACCTTGTTCTCCGAGCTCCTTAAATATATTGTCGCTTGTTGGATCCTGACTCATCTTCAAAGAAATGATGGGGGGATGCGAGTTTATTTGATCTGTTTACGTGTCACGCGTTGTTGTGACCTACATCAAATCAACCTGTTGTCACCAGTCGAAAACCCCTTCAGTTCCGCGCGATACTTCACCGCTCACACCAGAGTCGTAATATTTGTAACATAAACTGCCCTGCAGAATTCTCCGCTTTTTATTCAGGAAGTATAATCGGATTAAATTTTGGAATAAGGAACCACTATCTCTGGCTCTCCCATAAAAGCTTATATCTGCATAGGGAAACCAATGGCATGTACCTAAGTTGTTTCTAAAATGGGCCCGAGATAGTGGTTCCTTATTGCAAAATGTAATCTAATTATCGTCTTGTGTTTAGTAGGAAAAATCGTGATTGAAACTGTTAGCATTATTTTTATTATTTTAGTTGGAGAATACGAGGTCATGGTAAAGAATCGATTATCTAGACGTTCGTTGCGGACACCCTGATCATGGATTCTTTTCCCTAGGCTTAAATGGCAGATCAATCGATTGTATCGCAAAGGACGCCACGCCACTTATTGAATTGAACTGTCTCCTCACGCCATGAATCCTTATCCCATGAGAACGCCGAAAATATCGACAGACCTTTGAAAGGCCAATGCTCGTCACGTGCAGCTAGTGACTTTTCCGAATAAACCTCGGAGATGTATTCAACGGCCTTATGATTATGTCACCGAGCGTCAATTTTGGCACGGATTAGGCGACAACAGCGTTGCCAGCGTTTGCGCGTTTTTTCCGGACTTTCAAACCGCGGATGTGGGTGGGTAAGGTAGAGCCTGATCTGGCATATCCGGGGAGGGGAGGGAAGTCGATTTCGTGTCCCTGCGGGACGTCCAATTGTCCACCTCTGTCGGAGGCTCACTGGCGCAGGCCAGCGTCTCCTGCACTCGGACGCTCAAAGGGAACCCAAACACTGTTGTCTTCGTGAAGGAAATTTAAGACTTTTGGAAATGGACCACTAGACAAGGTACGAATTTCAGCATTCTGATACATGATTCGTAACTAAAATTTAACGTAGAATACGACGCGCACAACGAAAATTACCGAATTCAACTCCTTCCAAAGATATTTAACGATTCTTGATACGTGAATTCAAACCACCCGCTCATGAAAACTCAATTCTCTACGTGATTCACATCGCGCGCTGAATGTTATTATGACAGTCTCTGCTATATAAAAATCTGTCAACCTCAATCTTGACGCTTTGGCTCAGCTATATCAAATTGCTTCCTATAGTTTGAACAACACATGGTGGGAAATTAACATCGCTCGATTGAGAAGCTTTCTGAAACCGTTGAAGTGAGCGATTTGACTCACGTAGAGCTTTGAGTTTCTTGAGAGCGGGCAGTTCAAATTCCTCGTAACCAATGTGAAATAAAAACGATAACATCTTCGTTAGGAATTAGTTTCAGTAATTTTCATTGCGCGAATCGTGTATTACGTGAAATTCTGGTTAAGAAACATGTATCAGATGGCTTAAATTCGTACCTTGTCTAGTGGTCCATTGCGTTAATAGAGTGTGGAGAATAATGTGAGCAAAATTCGGCAACCCTGTTCGATGCGGAGAGTCGTTTACCCTAAGTGAATTTCGTGACGTAATGCATTGTTTAAGGCTCCGTGCTCTCCGCCTATCAATCCGTCCTCCTCGGGGGTCTGAAAAAATAATGTGGACGAAAAAGCTGTCTCGGAAAGCAGCAAATGTGAAAGCCCTATGATGAAAACGAAGTCTCTAAATTTTTTGGATAGCGCTTGTTGCTGGCTCGGATAAAATTCACGAATTAAAAGAAGAGGAGAGAAAAAAAAGTGTTTTTTTAGTTTTTTGAGAAGGCTTTTATGTGAGAAAGCTCCATTGTGGAAGCTTAAGTTTGCCATCGTGCAAACGGAATCCTTAAAAAGCAACATAGCTTTTATTGGAGCATAGGGTGTGTCTTCTAATACCGATTAGGCTTGTGGCAAATCTAATAACATAATGAGATCAAAGAATATCTGCCGCAAAAATTTTACGACTAGAGGTTACCGCAGCGATTACTTTAATCGCCTTACTCTGTTATTAATATTATCACTAGCACGAGTGTTTTGATACCCGCGCGTCCAATAAGGAAAGCGTGACATTGGAACGCCTTTTGGAGCTTGCCTCATCTGTGAGTGGGTCGATATTAGCATAGGTCATAGATGCGGGGCTGGCGGCGAAAAAAAAAAGAAAAATGGCAAATTACTGAGCGGCAGGTTGCCCGTGGTAAGATAAACCGTTTAAAAGGACGGAATAATTTTGCAATATACCAAGCATCCTCTCTTTGACATTTGGTAAATAACTGCTGAGAACTCTCATGGGCGGAGTTTCAACTAGTAACTAGTACTGGTACCTAGTATTGATTCATCGGAGATACGCGCGGTAGCTCCTTTAAAGTGATCACAAGATTTTTTGTGAGCTTCTGAATCAAACTGCCCAAGGAATAGATGAATTATACATTATATTTCAACCAATAAGATAGCTCCATATTCCTTATGTCTTCTTTGTCAATCACTTTTTCTATCACTTTGTCTATAGCTTTGTCCATCGCTTTGTCTATCGCTTTGTCTATCTCTTTGTCTATACTGCCGTGCTAAGGAAAAACACCATATGAACATTCGAGAGTTGCTAATAAGTTGCTAAAGGAGAGTTGTGAATGTTCTCTCTTGAGATTTTCAGATAATTTAGATCTACACTGGGGAAAAAAACACATTGGATCTATAGTCCAGACTCTTAAAAACATCGATAAGAAAAATGACTCTTGATTCAATCGGATTTTTGTTTAAATCAAGAACCAAGCCTCTTAATTTGAGCGGATTTCCTTTTGATTTAAGCTTAAACCTGATTGAATCAAGAGTCCTTTTTCTTGTCAATGTTTTCAAGAGTCTGGACTCTAGATCCAATGTGTTTTTTTTCTAGTGAAGTAGCGAAAGAAATTTTCTGAACAATTACATGAAGAATCTTCAAAAATTTCCCTATATGTTCGTATCTTATCCAAGGAAATTTGACAACGTCTGAAGGCTCATACGGCGTTCTTCCTCAGCACGGCAGTAGATATAACTTTGTCTATCAATGTCAATAATCATTGCTATTGATAGACCATAAGATTGGTGGTCCATTGCCAAGTTGGCGCCAAAAACCAGGCAAGACGCGGTTTTTTTAAAGGGTCCGCGCGGGTCTCGACGAGTGCTGGGCAGATAGCGCTGAGAGCGGCGTCGCGCAAAAGCCGTGGCGTCGCGACGCGGCGTCACGCCGGCAACGAGCGCGGGCGCACGCCAGTCGCTCTCGTCCTCTCGCGTGGCGCGTGTTCCCGTCGTGTTCACTCCTTGTCGTGTTCCTTCTTGCGTCGCTCACGCCAAACACTCAGCGTCCCGAGTGAAGTAAATCATAGGTGTTGTGGCCACGAGTAAGTTCGACTATGGAAGTCTTGTAAAAAAAAAGAAGAGGAAGAACAGGAGAAATAAAATTACCGTTAGGAATGGTAAAAATGTCAGGTTTAGACCCTTGGTGGTCGTATGAAAAAAGCCACTCACGCGTTCACCTAATTTCTGCGTGCTAATGAATGATGTTCAACTTTAGTCACTCCTTTCAGCTACTTCCTTTTTTGATACTGTATCCCTCGGAGTTCTTTGGCTGACCGTAATGCGAAAAACATGTTATTCTCGAATCTTTTTTTTTTTTCAGCTCCAATCTTTTTTTCGGTTTAACTTTTCAATTTTAATCACTAGTACTCGAATGTTTTTTTAACATTCTTCAAAGACGTGATTCTCAAGTGAAACATAAATTAATTGCTGTCTCAATGAGATTCGGCCTCTATTATTTTCACCCCTCGTGCAAAAGAGTTGTTTATTTTTCTCTCCTCCTCTTTTTTTTTACATTTCTTCCATCGGTCTCAAATGAATGAAGTGCACCAGCGTTCCTATGCTTCTCCGTCTCTGAAATTGTGTTCTCTCTCTGTGTGGAAGCCGCGCGGAACTGTCCTGTGACCACGTGAACGCTCTGTGTTAGCAGGGTCACTTTTATCACTCTTCGCCCCCAGGATTAATTTCAGTGATTGTGCGCCCCAGGCTTGAGAGCTCCCAAAGTGCGTGAAATCGCAATAGATTTTCGCCTCCGGTGCTATTTAGCCATCTGATTCGGAAGCAGTATGATTGTGCGGCTGTGTTCATCTCGGATCGCTAAGCGATTATTTCGGCTCAGCTTACCTCTCTATCGCTTAATAATTAGTCCTCATTTTTCATCCTAATTCAATCCCTTTCTTCTCTCTAGTTTTGAATAGTTTTCCGAATGATAGAATAATGCAAATGCATTAAGCTTGCACTTCACCGACCTTTAGATTTGATTCTCAGAGCAAAATCTTGCCAGTAGCCTGAAACGACAAAGAGATGCTATGTTCTGTATTTCCAATAGATAGAAAAGTTGAAACGCCTTCAAAGCCTCCTACACGCAACACGCATATCCATAAAGTACGAATATTTGTATTCAAGCGCTGATTCAAGTCTGTCGCGCCGTGTCTATCGGCTGAGATGCCATGACAAACGGTGCAGCGCTGCGCCTCACTTTATTTCCACTTGTGAATCTGTTAGTCTACTTCAAAAAGATTTAACGTACGAAATTTTTCAAAGACAATCTAATATCAATGTTTTTTTTTGGTTGCGGGGAAAAATATTACTGAATTTTGCAGGATATATACATAACCGTTTGTGGATGTATTTTGTTCGATCGCAATGTGATCGAAGCTTGCAAATTCAAACGCTCACAGCTCAATTGCAACGACTTAAAGACTGTAAAACACACATTAATATCCTTTTTACGGAGTGCACCTGTAAATAAGAACTCTCATGAACGAATCCTCGATTCATTGATTTCCTTCAGGAAGGGGCAAGACAGTTATAAGATTGCCTTGATTTAGTTTTTTTTTTTTTTTTTTTTTTTTTTTTTTGGCGTGAATATAAGATTGCCCGATTGTGAATTGTATGCACCAAACACAATGTAGAAAAAAAGTAAAGGCACCATTTGGTATTCATCTCAGAGGATGGACATGTGTCCTAAGTCAGCGCCTGAATACAACTATACATGCTTTATGGATGTGCGTGTTGCGTGCAGGAGAAATTGAAGGCGGTTCGCCTGCGGGAGAGTTTTAGAAGTCAGTTCCAATCTAGATATTAAATCACTATATTTTAGGCGTACTTGAGATCAACATCAAGTCCGGCCCGTTTCTTTGCTTGCGTCAGATATCACTCGTCAACAAGCTAATCTCTGGATGTGCCGAAGCAGCTTGATGTTAGTTTTTCTTAAAAATATTCGTTTCTTTCAGGCGTGGAGCCACCAATTTTGAATTGTTCTCCGCGGCGTGACGTGGATCCAATTTTCCGAACTGTCGGATCGAACTCCGGGAGAGTTTAAAAATAAATCCCGTGTGTGATGTTAACTTCCTGGTGTTGTGGACCCTCGACGCGGACCATCCTCTCGGATTGTGATAGCTTCGTCCTTCTCGGGGTGTAATGCTAACGTCTTGATCCGCCAAGTTTATATCCAAGTGATTGAGTGCGTGATGCTCATCTCCTGATACCGGGTGCTCTGCCGTCGGGAGTGATGGGTCGTCCGGTTGGGGAGCCGGTGGGGCAGGCGTCGCGACCCTGAGCCGCGTCAAGATATCCATCCTCAAGCTGGCCGACTCCTCGGGCTCCGACGAGGAGCCCGAGGGGGAGGGCGGGGGCGGGGAGGGGCGCCTGGGCTTCAAGTCCCACCCCTACGGCGTCCTCAGCATCACCTCCTCCGCCTCCGTCTCCGGGGTGTCGGCCATGTCCGAGGGGGCCCCCGTCGAGTCCCCCACCGGGGGCTCCGCCGCCGGGAAACTCCCCCGCACCCTCAGCACCAGCGTCCTCAGGATCAAGCCCCGCTCCTCCTTCTGGGACAAGGTCTGGGAGGAAAGGTCCAAGCGAGACTAGTGAGTAGACTCTTTCAACATTTAAAATTATACATCCTGGAGTACCTATATAAGGCCTTGTCTCCACGGGCCGTTTCATGGGATTTGTCCCAGGGAAAATCCCACTTACGAAGTTGGAAAAAATATTGAGTTAATCAATATTTTTCCCAGTACCAAGTTTGGTCCTTGCACCCCTAGGACCCTCTGAGAGTGGAAGAAGAAGTGTAAAGGAACTGTGCGATATTTTGTTGATTACTTATTGGTCATGTTTGTTTAGTCAGAATAATGTGTCTAATTGTTAATTGAGTGCAATTATTATTTTATTCCCGGTTAAATACTCAACTTTAACTAATTTATCTTCCCGCGCAAACTAGTCGCAGGACCGTATGAGCCCCGTCCCGTGGAGACGGTAACTGGGAAAAACCCCAGAAGTTTCATTCTTGCGATTCGAACTTGGTACAAATCCCATGAAAACGTCCTGTGGAGACAAGGCCTACGGGAGAGTATTGTCATCTCAATCCTTTTACTACAGAAAAAGTGAGCTCCTCTCTGATTGGTCGGCTATCATGGAGCCCCAATGTTGGCCCAACGTAAACAAACCCCAGCCCTTCTGCTCCTAGGTTGACCCAATGTAAAAAAGTAAGATCGCGGAAAAGTTGTGCAAAGTTCCAGACGTGATTTTGGGTGTGATAGAAATTTTTTTTTATCCAACTTCTGAATTGAGTTCGGATCGAACTTTGATGAATGTTTTTACCGAAAACTAAGCTTTAAGTGTGATTATCATTCATTTCTCAGCCGATAATACGTGTGCCTCTGGGCCGGGTGTGTTTACATTGGGCCATCTTTGGAGCTCCATGATAGCCCAAAACTGATGAACCAATCAGAGAGCGGCCCAGAGCTGGCAATACTCTCCCGTATACAGGTACTCTCATACATCCGAGATCGAAGTTCAAACTCCCAAACGTAAACCACGTAGCACGTCATAAATAAATACATATAAAAAAATAATAATAACCACGTCATAAATAAAGCATGACATAAGTTTGCAACGTTGCAAACCGAGATACGTGGTTTGGGAGTTTTAACGTCGATATTCCTTTTTTTTGTTCCTCCGTTTCAATTTCTTCCGCAAGTAATGTAAGTGCAAAAGTTTTTAGATTTTAAAAATGTATTTTAAAAACTAAACAGACCCGGCGTATGGACAGAAATAAAATAGACAGGTCATCAAAATCAGTGTTTGCGTCAAGGGTCTCATTACAGTTGACTCTTTTATGTTTGGAAAAAATTGTAGCGGTAGAATTTGGTCTTGGGGTGAGTGCAAAACTTCTCAGAATTTCTATTATAATTGATGATTGTTGGGGACCGTTCATAAATTACGTATCGCACATTTTCCGATATTTATAGGATGGGATGATTGGGGCCGGGGAGGGGGTTGACCGCGAAGCGGTCAAGGAGCTTAGCACCCTACTGCACATATACTCAAAACGAGCTGCAGTGACTTCAACGTCATGTAGTGTTGTCTCAAGCTCGTCTCGACTTGTTCTTAAAATAAAATTATTACTCCAATTATGGTATGGTATTTGTCGCTGACTTCCTTTATATCACTCTCTCTGGTATTTTGCGCAGTCTCATCGGATCACGAGCGGCATCTGACGATAAAAATACATGACCCCTTACGACCCCTGTGTCAAATATAACATCGAGTAGAAAAATGAGAAAATTATTGCGAGGACGTATTTAATGTGAATGAACATTCAACTAAGCATTCTTTTAATATAAGGTACCAAGCGAACAACCGGCTTTTTATAATTTGCCCCTATTCTTCTCGCTAGCACGGTAAGTAAACAGAAGATGGTGCACATAGGGCTTAAAATCATTCAAAAACACCAAGTTGTGAAGTTCAAAATAATCCTACCGAGACCCGGATTTCCTAAATTTTCACTCATTTCATTTCAAAATTACCTGAACTTATTTAAACTGAAAAAGTTGAATAACATCACTCAATGTAGTTAAGATTCTGCACAAAACCTATTGAGAAGTATAAGAAACAGGGCTGTTTGTACACTCACCATCAAATCGAAATCAAAAGCGTGTCCTTACGTATGAATATGTAGGGCACCCTAAAATATATTCAATGAAAAATGTATCCGCTTATTGATAACCGAAAATATGTGCGCTCTCATTCATTTACATTTTTTACTCTTCCATAAGTGATCAAAACTAGTTATTTAAACATTTTTTTTTCAAGTTTCGCCGTCGAGGTCTGTTCTAGCCTCCTCGACCGCTAAAAGACAAGTCTAACCAAAATTCTGTGTCACATACGGCAACGCTCTCATCAGGATTACGACAGCACAACCACTGAAAAAATGTCGCCTTGATAAACATGCGGCTATTTTTTCCATGAACCGTAGTGTATTGGAGTCCGCCTGCAGCCACGTGAGCTCGAATGAAATATTTTGTAAGCAAAAATGACGTGGAAATTATCTACTACGGCAGAGCTATCTGTGAAAGCAGTGTAGGAGGGGAGGGGAGATGGATCAGAATAGCACCTATCGAAAATGGGTTGAGTAATACAGAAGTTTAAGTTACGTAAGTGGTTAATGCGTAGATGCAATCATCGGATTGTCGCATTGCTTCGCCCGAGCTGCCTGTGACAAATAACTTGTCTTCTTTTTCTTTTTTGTTTCGCCTACACGAGGAGGAGGGAAGTCCAAGAGGAAAGTGTGTCCTCCGTAAATAAAAGCAGGCAAGAAATATGTGCTTTGAATTTCGTCAGCTCCGTTCGATCGATTGACATAAGGGCGTAACCTGTCTTTGAGATAAGCTCCAACATTCGCATAAACCCGCAAGCTCTTCAAGGCTCAAGGGAAATAGCTTGCATGGAAAACACGAAGCTTATCAGGTCACTTACCTATCGTCAGGCAGAATGCATTTTCGGTGCAACAACATGAAACATTTTGTAAATAAATCTGTATAATCTTACACGCCTTGGTGACTCGGCACGACTTTTTGCCTCTATCATACCTGAACACATGACTTTGTCAACGGAACGTCTTCATTACAGTTGCATAGCAAAAAAACGTTGTAGGGCAGGTGGGGGGGAGGGGTTAGTCATCAACAGTCGAACGTGTCTCATGGAGGTGGGACCGAGGGTAAAAACCTCCTGGAAATCAGGAATGAAGGAGATTTTTGAGGACAATTTTTCAGCCATGAGGGGAGGAGGAGGTCCAAGGGTATTTGACATTTGACCACGACACTGTTTTTACAGCATAAAAGAACAATTACTACGCGTTAAAACTCCAGAGTACATCAACCTTGGTTTGATTCTCCGTTTTGTCTCCGCATTCAACTCCGTAGAATTTTATTCCGAATAAACCTCATTTCATTCGTTCTCGCACGAATTTTGAATAGAGACATTCATAGGAAAAACTGACAACACTTAAACGGCATACGTATGTGACTACGTCACTTGCCGTTATCGGTTGAACTCACCGGGGCGGGGGGAGGGGGGAACGTGGGAACACTGAGCGGTTCATTCATAATTATTCTTATCGCGTATAGTTTCTTTTCTTTTTTTTATTATTCTGCGTCCAGCGTAAATAAATAGATCACGAAGTTTTGCTCGCATATCTGTAATTGCGCCGACGACAGGGCGTGGGTTGAGGTCTTTCGGTGGCCTGCGCCTCGAAAATCAGTCTCGTGACCCGGCTCACAGTGGTTCGAGTCAATTACAGAGGTCGCACATGAAATTTTTTACTGAAACTGCGAATTTTGATGTTTATGTCTTTACATTCTAGACTTTGAGGGGTGTTACTGCGAGAAAATTTTACGAGGAAACTAATGGAACTAGAACCTCAAAGTCTTGTATATGCGGAGTTACAAGCGTTCGAAGTTTTCACATTTTGTCCGACCTCTCTTATTGACTCGATCCACTGTGGGGCTGCGGCTGCGAGTGCAGTACTTTTCGCAGTCTTTTCGTAGTCCTCATCGAAAAGACTTAACGAGAAACGATTCAACATGAATCATCTTTTCTTTTTAGTACCTGCAGAAAATGAGTTAAAAAATGCAACTTTCACACTCAGCAATGCTGCAGCAACTGGGTCGGTCGCGCTGGTCAAAGAATCGTGTTTTGATGGTTGATTCTAGTAGATCAGCTAAAAATTAAAAGGTTTGTCCAAACAGAAACTTTTTGCATTCGATATTAACCGAAGTAACGCGTTTTGACAAATCGCAACGTGTATGGCACCACTCATATTAGTATACCTTGGTTTCTTCCACCTTGCTTTCATCAGGCAGTGAGATGCACATTCGCATTAGATACGCAACGTGAATTGACGAAAGCAAGGTGAAAGAAACCAATAGTGTCGCTACCGCGGTGGTTGTCGTTACAAACCGAATTTTTCAAAGCGCGGTCAATATTGAACTTAGAAAGTTGCTGTTTGGACAATGGAGAATTAGCATGCAAATTTTTTATTGCTTCATCTGAATATGCTTGAGGAACTGATTTCGCAGTTTTTTTATAATTTTTTTCTGCCATGGGAAATAGTAAAAAAAAATAGATTGAAAGGCAAGAAAATGTACCGCCTAGTGACGTCATATGGCGGCATTTCTCATTTAAACACATGTACACTAGCAGATTAGATCATTTTGTCATATAACATCTCCAATAATTGTTCAATTTATGTGGCAAGGGTATCCTCGTGTTCAGTTCCTTCAATAGTTTCCATCTAAACACAAAATTCATCAAATTTCAGACATCTGCAAATTCTCTATCCTCGTATTTTTAGCTGATCTACACAAATTTATCATGAAAATATAATTTTGTTACTAGCACAAGTGTGGCATTGTCTCGATAAAGTCGGCAACTCCACAGCGGAGGAAATGCGGGTGCGATTCGGAGCGCGATCCGTGGGCAGTGGGAAGCTTTTGCCGGGAACTGCCCGAATCCGCGGTGGGCCAACCTCCAATTTCGCCGGGTCGTCTGCACCGAAGAAGCAAGGCCGTCGCGCCGATAACTTTTT